TTGATGTAAAACATGAGAGTGATGATGTGAACCCCTTAGGCGTGCTTGGATACAAATAAATCGCTCAAAACGGTTTTTTTTGGTTAAGCAGTGTTAATTTTGAAAAGAGGTGTTATAGTTAGTTGTTACTGGGATTTTGAGTTTATATTAAACTAATACGAAAATAATAATTAAAGTTGATTTGGTGTAAACGTAGGGGAGAGATGATGTGAAGTGTTGGTTAATTAAAATTATTTGAGTAGATGAATAGTGAATTAAAGTTGATGTGATATACAAAAATGATTGATTGATATTATTTAATTATATTGAGAATAAAACAGGTGTATTAAAGTTTAGTTAGTTTTGAGTATGAATTCAATTTATTTATAAATAAACACACCCCACAATCTTCATTTGTGTTTCTTCTTTTTCAAGTGAGACATAGCAACTGAGTGACTGGTTAGGGAGTGCTCCGCTTGCAAAACTATAGAAGTGACTGAACAACAAATCACTTCTGGACATTTTTACACCATTTTGCTTGTCTTCTTTCTTATGCTTCATATAAGTGCCTGAACAACATATATAATTTTTACACCATTTTGCTTGTCTTGTTCTTTCTTATGCTTCATATAAGTGCCTGAACAACATATATATACTACATACCCCGACGTAAATAGTATGTCCGAACATATATAACATGATGTCCATAAAGGTGTATTTACTGCTCTGCTTTTATCAAATAAACAGGCATGGTTTAGAGAACTTCCATCGGGTGTTCTTGACTCGTTGACCCCAGAACAAGTGATGCACTGCAACACAGAGGAAGAGTGCACCTTGCTCGTGAAACTTCTTCCACCTACCGAATATGCATTGCTCGACTGGGCTATCAACCTAATGGCTGATGTGGTGCAGCACGAACATCACAACAAGATGAATGCTCGCAACATAGCCATGGTGTTTGCCCCCAACATGACTCAGGTTCATTTTTTGTCCTTGTAATTTTTCTTGCTTTTACCCCATTTTTAAGTCTCACATCTTACTTGCATCTTTGGTTGATTTGAAGCTCGCAATTCCCATTCTCGACATGTTTTATTCTTCTGCACATGGACTCGGATTGACATTTGAGTAGTTTAATTTAGTTTTTCAAGTACTGGGAATGTCTTGACACAAAAAATCTAAAGTTCCAATTCCATTTTCAGATGGCTGACCCTTTAACCGCATTGATCCATGCCGTCCAAGTCATGAACTTCCTCAAGACGCTCATAGTAAAAACCATCCGGCAAAGGCAAGAAATGTCTCCCACTAATGCAAACACAGAATGTAATGATTCTTTCAGAACAGCACGAGACTGCTCGCCATTGTCAAGTATGTCCGAAATAGCCGTAAACGAGCAATTAGTTGTTGAGGGCGGGTCGTGCAAGGAAGCACTTGCCCCCGATGACCTCATAAGGAGCTGCACTCTGGAGAGACTTGAATCTGAGAACATAGGCCACTCATTGAGCAATAGAAGCAAAAGCGATGGTGGGGAGAAATTTGACCAAGGCTTGCGAAAGAGGCGGACATTGGAGCACAGCTTCAAGGACGAGTATGAGAAAATGGAGGCTGAGGGGATATTGAACCGTATAAGCCTCCGGAAGGGCATGCAGAGGCTGAGGAGGCATCCCGTGTTCCAGTTTAATAAGGCGGTCAAGAGGTCCAAAGACCGCGCTCTTTTTAGGGATGAA